GGCCAGGGCTCCGGCACCCTCAGAGGGAAGAAGTTCTTCCTCATGGAATGATTTGCCGCACGCGGAATCCTCCGCTGCTCTGTTTCCTTCCCCGTTCATCTCGGGGCAGCAAGAGAGACCTGTTTAATGGGTGTCTGCCCGAGGTGCAAACGAGCCGAGCTGAAGGCCGGCGCAAAGGCTGCTCCCTTTCTCGTTAAGCTCTCTATTGCCAGAGACAGCCCGCACAGGAGGTCAGCGTGCCTCCTTTCACAACCGTTCCCTCACAGACTAAGATTTTCCCTGAAGTCAGATTATCTCTTTGGCACCAGAAAAATCCTCTCGAGCAGCTGTTCCAGGGAAGCAAACACGGACCAAGCATGCAGCCTTCCACTGGAACAGGGGCTTCGCGACACCCTCACTCCTTCAGACGAGCTGGAAGGGTTCCTCTTGTAACCTTACCAACCCCGATAGCGGACAACGAGCTGTTCCAGCAACTCCTCTTCCTCCTGGCAGATGGAAGTGATGGAATTTGTCTGCCTGCCATGGAAATAAGCAGGAGCTGGCTCTTTCGCAGCCTGCCTGCAGCGCAGACACAGGCACCCCTGCCTTCACTGACGGAGGAGCTGGAAGCCGGGGTCTTCACCACGCTTTTCTTGTCTGTGACCCTCCTACACAATCACCACCATGACCAGCAGAAGACACCACCACGCTCTTCTTGAGACTAAGCGAGGTTCCCAGCCCCTCACACTGACCGACCCCAGGCAAACCAGCAGCTCTCACCGGGACGAGCTGCCGAGGGCTCCCGACGGTCCCTTTGCCTCCGGCAGCCGGGTGGATCTCTCCTCCTCTGACGTGGGATCAGGCCTCTTGGACACCATCAGTTCTGCCAGGAAGAGCATAAAGGTTACACCAAATCGGACTTCCCAAGGATTCAGCTGCCAGAAATTATGCCACATGCTAGCTCAGGTTTAAAAAACAACATTTCTCAGATCTCTGTCAGAACTGCACCCCATTAATCCTCCATTTCAAAGGACGTGAATTGCACCTACCAGTACAGACTGGTTTTCTACATCCAAAGTAAATTAGTTTTCCCTGTAATTGTTCAACCTTTCAAACAACAGTCCTGACTCCTACTGCAATTTCCATCCGAAAAGAACTTTCCTAGGATCAATTTCCAAATGTGATGTCAAAGGGCTTCGGCTCTGGAATATCACCGGGGCGGTGTCTCCACATCCGCTCGGGGGGGTTTGGGGGGTCCTCTGTGCCGGGGGGAGAACCCCCCGCCTCGGCTCCGGACCCCCCCGCCGCTGCTGTCGCAGGGGGACGCTGGCTTTGCCCGTCTTCTGGGCACAGAGGGAATCGGTGATTTGAAAGTACTTGGAGAGCCTGATAGGGGAGATGTTACTAAGCTGTGAACACCAAAACTGGGGGGGGGAAAGCTTGCAAGCTAACTCTAATCAGCTTAACCAGGCAATTAGCGGAGCTGTGCCGAGTGTGGAAGTTCCTGTTCCGTCAAGGATTTTCAAACTTCAGCGTGAAGTGGAACAAAACGCCCAACATTTCAACACACCCCACAAGGGGAAATGAGAACTGAAATTTCCCTTCAGATCCACTGGAACGTTTCGTTTCAATTTCAGCTTTAGAAACACATGCACTTTAAACCCGTTTTTTTTTAAAAAACAAATTTGAAATCTCTTATTTCAACAGCAGAAGAATGCAGTTCCCCAGCCAGCTCCCTGGGCTCAGGACCGAAGCTCCCGTACTGAATAAAGAGCTGGCTTTGTCCCCCCTAAAAGAGGTGACGGCATCATGAACCAGCTCTGCCCCTCCACAGCACCCCTGTTTGCACGGAGCCGAGCCCAGCACCTCCTGCTCGCTGCAGCAGGACGGATCAGGCCCTCGGAGAAGACACAAAACCCTTCTCTCTCTGGCCAGCCTGGTGAGCTGGGAGGGGATTTTGAGTCCGATCCAGAGCTAATGGATTTGGGACGCATTCTTTGCTGCTGGCGAACGGGCCGACGGGCTTTTCAGCCCCCATCCCCTTCAGATGGGAGTCGTGCTACCAACATACATATCACCCAGAAGGGTATTAAGCGACTCCAGGAGGGAAAAGGCATAGAGAATCCCATGCCAGCTGCCAGATTGGCTCTCTCAAGAAGCTGGATGGCAAAGGTTTTTTTACACTCCTAAGAAACCGCAGGCTTTTGGCTAGGCATCCACCGTTATTTAGGATTTGTATAATCTGAACTAGACTTCGAGCAACAACAAAGCTATAAATGGTGGAAGGGGATATACAGAAAAGAGGCAAAAGGAGTCTTTTCTCAGTGTTCTGAACAGCCAGTTTCCAAGGGAAAAAAAAGAACCTAAAATGAGATTTCAGTTCTTCCTTTACAACTCCTCTGAAAAACCAACAGTGTAAGTCAAGAGGCACCGCTGTGTCGCTTTCTGATAACATATGAAAACCTCACGTTAAATACTATCAGAAAACAAAAGCAAAAGTCTGTTTCCAAGTATCGTAACTGTCAAGAAAAATGGAAAACAAGCCACTCTTAACTGCAAAACAGTTATTTGGATACTGAACAAGCACTCCAGCATAACTCTTGTTATGTGCATGTAGTTTGTAAAAGTTTCCCAGTGCTGAGGACAACAGCAAGATCCCTGGGGAGAGATTTCTCGTCTAGCTGTGCTGAAGAGGCTGATGGCAACTCTGCAGGCAATAAACTGCCTCCCAGCACCACCTTCCCCCCAAAAAAGCCCCGATTCAAACCATTCTCACCTTCAAAAGGTCTTCCTTCAGCTGCTGAAATGATTTCGCACGGTGACTGCAAAGATGTCCTCAGTGGAAGAGGAGAGTGTTCTCCAGCCATCGGGTGATCCTCATCTCAGCCGCTTCGCTCTCTGCGAAACCAGGAGGCTTCTGGAAGCCGTCCCCCACCTTCGGGAAAGGCTCGACTCGGCCAGGACCGCCAGCTTCCATGCGGCAGCGAGCGTCCCGAGTCCCCCAGCCTCCTCCTCAGCGATATTAGTTCCAGTTTCTCTAGTAAAAGCCCACTGTCATCCCCAGCGCTTGCCTGAAAACTCAGTCCCCAGACACAGCGAAAGGTTTTATTAGCAAATACGGGGGTATCATTTGCTCTCGCTCCGAACTTGCCCATTTTCACTTCTAATCTCGTGTTCCTCGGCTTCCCGTTTAAAATGCAGAGGCATGTTATCTTCCATCACTGCGCTCAATACAGTTTGCAGGGCATTAACCTTGGCTCTAAGTGTTCGGAATTGATCTTCTGGTTTCCAATTCCAGTGTTCACATCCCCAAATTGCTGGTCCACAGAGACTAATTTGCCACCGAAATAATCCATTTGTCGCTGCAGGATTTTAAATCAAGGCTCCATTTTTGCAGCCATAGACTGTAAATGCAGTAGGACTTTTCCACGATTAGTAGTTACATCAACTTCAGAAGCTTCTCTGCATGGAGGGTCGGATGATAACACAGCCTCAGGGGCAGAGCGGGGAGACTTGGGAGGCTCGGCTAATTGGAAATTAAAGGCAAGGAAGAAATTCCTTGGACTCTTAGCCCAAGCAGATATTAAGCTTTTAGCATTTAGCAGACATATTTAAACATAAAGAAAGAAACATTACATAGAAGCGGTCTCAGACAGACATCATCTTTCCTTTAGCTCCTATGTCCTGCAGCCTGAGAAAGGAAGCCACCAACAAAGCAGCTCCACTGCTGCAGGTCCCTGACCCGCCAGTAAATCCCACTGGACCCACTCCCCTGTCCCA